TTTTCGCTCTCAACAAAGCCAAGTCACATTATAGCGAAGTACACCACTTGGCTAGAAAGATCAACAATCTTGCTTTAAACTAAGTCAAGTCACAACAATTTGAAACCACGCAAACAACATAATAACCACTTACAAACTGTAATATTTGTTTAATAACATACCTCATAATAAATGTTTAACAACTTGCAAAAACAAACGATCTGGTTTTTTATATAAAAGCTAACAAATTTTTTTTTAACTGTAAACAAATGACATTATATTACAAACATAGAAACACATATATAAAAAAGATATTTACACATCTACAAAATATAAACCCATATAACCTTAACACATATAAGCACATAATAAATAACACACAAATATAAATAAATATATAAATTTAGAATATATGAATTAGAAACTTTACAAATACAACCTTATTTTTGTAACATTTGTTTAATGACATAGATCGTAATAAATGTTTAACAACTTGCAATAACAAACAATTAAACGATCTGGTTTTTTATGTAAAAGCTAACGGATTTTTTTTAAACTGTAAACAAATGACATTATATCACAAACATGGAAACACTCATATATAAAAGATATTTACACACTTACAAAATATAAACCCATAATAAATAACACACAAATATAAATATATAATATATAAATTAGAAACTTTACAAATACAACCTTATTTTTGTAATATTATTTTTTTTATTTAATATTATTTATGTAATATTATTTATTGTAATAATATTTGTTTAGTGACATACATCGTAATTAATGTTTAACAATTTGCAATAACAAACAATTAAACGATCTGGTTTTTCATGTAAAAGCTAACGGATTTTTTTTTAACTGTAAACAAATGACATTATTTCACAAACATATAAACACTCATATATAAAAGATATTTACACACTTACAAAATATAAACCCATATAACCTTAACACATATAAACACATATTAAATAGCAGACAAATATAAATATATAAATTTAGAATATATAAATTAGAAACTTTACAAATACAACCTTATTTTTGTGATATTTGTTTAATGACATACGTCGTAATAAGTTAAACAACTTGCAATAACAAACAATTAAACGATCTGGTTTTTTATGTAAAAGCTGTATCTTTTTTTAATTTTTCCAAAAAACACTCTCTAAATTGCAAACTTCACCCAAACTATGCAATTTTGTAAAAAATTGCTGGGGTAAATTAAACTTATTTCGTTATACTTTTTTATCGACTCTAGTACACATTTATTGCTTTTATTTAAATGTTTAGTGAGCTTAATAGCTACCTTCTGACCATCTAAACGAAAAGTTGATATAATACCTTTTCAAATCTAAAATTAAAAAAATCTAACTTGATCTACCTATTTAATCTAAAAGTTATTAACTTTATTACATATACGTTTCTGTGCTTACTGGAGTATTTTTTTTTTAAATTACTGAGAAACAACTTTACCAATTACTGAGAAACAACTTCACGCAACTTCGTGTGGTTTATCAACAAAGTTTATTTAAATTATTGAGAAGCTGTTTATATTTTGGTAAATTATGTAAGTTCTTAGTTATTGTTTTTTCTTTTTTTGTTTTGGTATTTTATTTCAACTGAATTAGGTGATCTATAATCTATATGCATAATAATAATGACTATAATCTTTTTTTACTTATTTATTCGCATCTACTAAAATCTTTTATTTTTTATTTACTTTTATTCCTCAATTATATAAATATTGGTTCAAAAATTTTTGAAAAGCCACCTCTGAAATATATGTTAAATACAAAAAAAGTTTTAACCAGTACAAACTGGTACTAGAAATTTATTTAATGACTCAGTGTAGTTGAGGCGATTTATAGATTATTTGAACTCTTTCATTTCTCAGTGGATACTTGACTTAAAAAAGACGTCTATAATTAGAACATTAAATTTTTTTTTTGCTTTAAGTTTTTAAAATGTTTGAAGAAAGATTAAATGAATGAGAATAAATGTTTAAAGAATCTTTGAATGAAAAAGAATGGCTTTTAAAAATAATTTCAAAACTTATTACTCCTTTAGTGAATCTAAATTTCAAAACATCAAAACTCAAAACTTTCAAAACATCAAAAGTTCAAAACAAAAGTTTGAGAACTTATTACTTTTTTACTTTTGTGAATCTATTACTCCTTTTGTGAATCTAGAGAATATTATTTTTGAGTCTTTAGATCAACTCTGCTCAACAGCAATAACTTAATTTTAATTAAAAAGTTTTGAAAATGTGCCTTCAACTACTATAAATCCTAGCTAAAGAAAGAGTTTACAATTACGAAAAATTGCCAAAAAGGGAACAAAACAGATCGTATTATGAAACTATGATGTTGATTAAGGTCATTCTACGTCTTTCTTTTCCGTAAGGGAGTTTGCACAACTACATGATAGTTAATCATACTAGAATATAATCACGGCATTAAATATAAAAACTAAGAGCTAAATAAACTAGGAAAACAAGGAGCAAAAATATATT